ATTTCTAGTAGGATATCTTGTGGTTCTTACTGGTATATTAAACTGGACCATTCTATGAATTTATTTGCAGTGTGTTGTTGAACTTGTCTGTCCTTCCTGGGCTTCTGTGTGGAAATGCTCTTATAGGTCTTACTGACATCACATCACAATTTTACTAGGAGGCTAGTGTCAGCTTCTGGCCAGCCAGCAACACAGGAGAGGCATTTCTCTGTCCAGTTGCTGTGGAAGTACAGCAGAAATGGAGCAGGCAAACATGCGGTTAAAAGCAAGTCTGAAAGAAAGGAGAACTTAGACAAAAAGTATAGCCCAGGTGCTATTATGGAATAGGATTGGAGGACTAACAGCACCCAGGCATGATTAGCATGTGTTCTTCTGCAAAGTAGTCAGGTTGTCAGCCTGGGGTGAAGGAAAATCTGTGCTCAAGACAGTATCTTCAACCATGCCTGCTAGGCTGGGCTTAAAGCATCCTCAAGTTCAGGTTAGAGGTTTTTCTGTGTGGGTGGAAGGAGAGTTAGGGGCAATGCCAGGGCCATAGCCTGGGCTAACTGTGCAGTGAAGACATACTCTCAGAGTAGAACACTATATAGGTGCACCTCTACCCCGATATAACGCTATCCTCGGGAGCCAAAAAATCTTACGTGGTTTCACCTATAACACGGTTATATCAAACTTGCTTTGATCCGCCGGAGTGTGCAGCCCCGCCCCCCCGGAGCGCTGCTTTACCGCGTTATATCCGAATTCGTGTTATATTGGGTCGCGTTATATCGGGGTAGAGGTGTATAAGTTTGAAAGATGGGCAGAATTTCATGTTAGGGCAGAGAGGACCTGCCTGTAACTTTATTATAATAAGGACAATTTTAGTTAAACTTCTGAGACACTTGACTGTGTTTAATTTATTTTATTGTTGTTTTCTTCTTTTCATTTAAGATATGATACTTGAGTGCACTACTGTCCTTATAAGTAGATATGTAAAAACAAATTTAGATGTATGCTAGTGAGATTACCCCAGCAATAGGAATTAAAAGCTTTTATTTTGTTGATATCAGTTTTTTTACCATAACAATGGGAAAATGGATTTAGAGACACATGAGAACGTATAGAGAGTCAGCAATCAGATGGATCTGGAGAAGCTTTGTCTTCCAGTCTGTTGGATGTATTAGAGAAGAACAGGAGGTGCCAAGATTGTACTGGATCTCCTGAGTTTTATGTTGCTTTCTTAAGTTCAAATCAAGAATTCTGCATTCAGTTGCTCCACTTCTCTGTTCCTCCTTTTTTACTCACCCCTTTAACTTAAAAGAAAAAGTGGCATCTATGCCATTCTGTTTCCTGCTCCTTTTGTAATAGAACAGAGGCTTTTTGACACTCTGCTTGTGTAGCTCCTCACTCCCTTCCTGGAAAAAGTGTATTTCCTACCTTTTCTTTCCCTTTCCAAGTGCCACTGTTCCTTTGACCACTCTGTAATCTTTCATCTCCAGTGGTTTTCCAGCTTAACTCAACCCACTTGTCTGGTTGAGAGAGGCTGGCCAGATAGCAAGTGTGAAAAATCGGGATGGGGGTGTGGGGGGGTAATAGGTGTCTATATAAGAAAAATCCCCAAATATCGGGACTGTCCCTATAAAATCAGGATATCTGGTCACCCTAGGTTGAGAGGGTTTTTCAAGTCCTGATTGGAGAAATAATTGGCGAATAAGAATTGTGGTAATGTTGTCTTTGAAATGCAAATTCAGGGCCACTTTTGTGATTTGCTACCAATTTCTTTAAACATTAGGAAATTTACACATTATAGGAACTTATGTATCAGAACTGATTTTGTGTAGAAAGTTGGCCACTTTCCTCTTTGCTGCATAAACTAATCATTCTAGTACTGCATTCTAGTGACAGGTTGTTGATTCTCAGTAATCTGTAATCTACTCTTAATAGTGCTGTGTCATATTTTTCTTTATTTTTATTTCTACAGCTAGAATTAGGCCAAAATAATCATACATAGCCATGGCTAAAGAAAAACTCGACTGCATAGATCTAGAGCATGATTTAAGGAATGTTTCTAGTTTGTATACCACTTCAAATTGTAGTGTTGTTCTGTTTCTCTTTAAGAGAGTTTAGCATAAGTTGTTTGCTCTTTTTTTTTTCTTTAAAGAATTTCTGAGGAGTAATATTCTGAACAGTTTCCAACAAGGTGGATAAAAATAGATTTTATATATATATATATATATATATATATATATATATTTTAATCGGGTTTTTATTGTTTAAATTAACATTTTTTCTTTTTAAAAATACACCTGTTTAAAATGAAATCTGAATTTAATACAAAATGTTTGTGTAAACTTATTATAATCTCTTAAAACACTTTAAATATGCTGAATCCATGAGTCTCTATAAAAAAATCTTTGAGTTACAGGCTGCTTTTCTATTTAAAGAAAGATTTTCCTCCCTCCCCCCCTCACCCCAATTCTTCTAACTTTTGAGGTGAGGCCTTATAATACAGCACAATAGGTCATCTGTTACTTAGAAGATCATCTCATTTTCAAGAGACTTAGGCAAGACTAGGGGTTTAAATTCACTTTCACTTAAGCATATTTGAAACTTTTCCCAGGCTGACTACAGTTTAATTCGCTGACTACAGTTAATCCTTCTGTTTAATAAATCATTGTAGTTAATATCAAAAATGTTTTGATAAAAGAGGTTTAAAGTATCCAAAATGTTTAAGGTTGTTTTATTTAATAAAAGAAATTAGATGCTGTTTTCAATGTTTAATTAAATTCCAGTTACCATCCTAATACAGTTTGACACAAATCATGGGCTAAAAGTTAATTATCTAGTAAATAAGCAATATATCAGTCACCATTTTCTAACCTACAAAAAAAGTACAATTAATAAGAATCTGAAAATATTAAGCCATATAATTGCTTAAATAAATGTGTGTATATATAGTTTTAGTGTACCCTCCTAGCTAGCAAAAAGATGTACAAAATCTAGTGCAAAGACTCTACAGTAGAACCTCAGAGTTACGAACACCTTGGGAATGGAAGTTGTTTGTAACTCTGAAATGTTCGTAACTCTGATCAAAATGTTACAATTGTTCTTTCAAAAGTTTACAGCTTAACATTAACTTAATACAGCTTTGAAACTCTACTATGCAGAAGAAAAATGCTTCTTTCCCTTTTTTGTTAATAGTTTACATTTAACAACACTGTACTGTATTTAGGGTTTTTTTGGTCTCTGCTGCTGCCTGATTGTGTACTTCTGGTTCCAAATGAGGAGTGTGATTGACTGGTCAGTTCGTAACTCTGGTTTTCATAACGCTGAGGTTCTATTGTATTTAGTTGTAAATCAGCATGTTTTGATGGCTATATCAACCAACGAGTTAGCCTTTCGTTAGCAAATAACTGAAGTACAAATGGAAAAGTTGATTAAAATTGATTTAATCAAGGCTTTCCACTTGGTAATTTAAATCAATCCTCTGTGGTTTCCAAAGAATAACTTCCAGTATTTTGGTATGAACAGGTAGTAAACTGTGAAAAATACTTATGCCTGAGTCAGGTGACATTTTAGTTTTTAATTATATAGATAAGGCAACAATCTTTCATTAAAAAAGAAAACTACTTCGAAGTAATTTTGGTTGTTTCAAATGCAGTCACATAATGGTGATTAGGTTCAACAACATTTCTTTAAACCCTAGGCTGTTTAAAAGCCGGAAAAGGGATAGTCTAAAGCAGAGGTCGGCAACCTTTGGCACGCGGCTCCCTGGCGGGCTGGGCTGGTTAGTTTACCTGTGGGCCCTGTGCTCCCTCTGCTCCTCCCCACCACCACTGGGGCCCCTCTTCTTCTCCCCCCATCACCACCGGGGCCTCTGTGCTCCCCCCATCCACCCCTACCACAGGGTAACCTATGCTCCAACCACCACTGGAGACCCTGTGCTCCCACCCTACCTGACCCCCTTCCTTGCCTGCCCCACCCCCAGAGGCCCTAGTGCAGTGAAAGAAACTGACCATGGGAGCTGCAGGAGGGGCCTACCTGTGCAGTGCTGCAGGTAAGAGCTCTACCTGGGGTATGCCCAGCGAGCAGACCTCCAGTGTGAAACTCGGGGGTGCAGGGCAGGTGCCCCCCCTGCTCTCCCTAAATGGTGCCCCTGGACAAGGCTCCCTGTAGCTTCCCCATAGCTACTTGTGTCAGCCCCATGCCACTGCAGAGCAGGCCCAGTGGTGGGGTCAGACTGCACACACTGGGGTTGCCTTCCAGTGGAGAGTGCAGGCCACTGGCTGCATGGAAGTGGGGAATCGCCCTACAGCCGCTCCCCCCAGGACATGGACTCAGTGGCGAGGCTGCCTCCAAACCTGACACAGCGCAAGGGCCAGGCCTGCCCCAGAAACACCCCTGGGCTCTATCCCTCTACTCTGGGTGCACCGTGATCACAAGCCAGAGGAACAGAGTCATGTACACCCAGCCTCTCCCCCCCGGTTGATGATTTACCTCTCTCTTGGCTGCTCCCAACACCCAAACTGATGTTCTCGATCGGGACCGCTGCTGGGGAGGGGCATGTGACCCCTCTCATGGCTTCCCTTTGCTTCCCTGTCAGAATCTATTATCCTGTGGGGAAACAAAAAAAATCTGCAGGGGACATAAATTCTGCACATGTGGAGTGATACTCCTGCGGAAATTCTGTATCAGTAATATTAGTCATCTAATAAGTATGTGCTGTAGTAAGATAGGCTAGCTGTGAAGGATTCAAAATATTGTAAAATTCATATCCTGTCTTTATTTTCCCCTCATTTCCATTCAACGGTCTTTGGCTGAATTACTTCCTATATCAATTTCTACTGAAGAAGTCAAAAGGTTCCTAGAAATAACGTACTTTTCTATTTCTGTTCTGCAAGTTTGGCTGGAGAATCTTTCTTCAGGACCTCTCTTTTCTGATTCACATTTCAGGTTTGTCTGCACTGACCCCAAAATTCCTGTTACTCCTAATACATATTCAACTGAAATGGAATTAAATCTAGTAGAAGTCCTAGTGTAGACAAAGTGTTTGGGGCTGGGCCTCCTTTTACTATTGTTTTGTCACTCAGTGACTCTGTATAAAAATTTTGTTTGACAAATGTGAGAGACTACAAATTGTTGCTAAATTCTCATCTGTCGATTATCCTCAATATTTCTTAAAAGGCATTATTAGCTGAACTGATTTATTCAGTTTCCTGTGAGTCTGAACTTGGACATGGGGTAGGGGATGATGCTTTTTAATTAGAATTTTAACACAATACCATATGCATGTTTACATTTGTATGTGATGTTGAAAGTTTTCTTTAGTGTTTCAGGTGAAGCGGAGCCCTAAGATGTTGCTTGGGTTAGATAAAGTATTGTCTGTCTTTTGCATCTCTATAGAATCTTGAAATGTGTTTCACAAGTAGAGTACACGCCACTTAAGGGGAAAATGCTTATTTGGGCCGTTTCCCAAGGAACAATATTCTTTCCAGTTGCGGGGAAATGACTTGGTCACAGTTTAAAACTTTAAAAAATCTTTTTTAGTTAAACAGTTGGGGAGAAGGGGAGAGGAAGCTTTGTTAAAGATTACAATACCCTTGCCCTTTTGTTGAAAGAGCTCCTTTAAAGAGGTTCTTCAGCAAAACCAGAGAAGACTGGACTTAATTTTCCTGGTATTTCTGAGGTTAAAAACCCCTCCGCAAAAACTTAACACCCACCCCTTCAAAAAAGACCTCCCCCCAATCCAGGCCTTTATTTTATTGTTTCTTTATGAGGTACACCTCTACCCCTATATAATGCGACCCGATATAACATGAATTCAGATATAACGCGATAAAGCAGTGCTCCAGGGGGCCGGGGCTGCGCACTTCGGCGGATCAAAGCAAGTTCGATATAATGCGGTTTCACCTATAACGCGGTAGATTTTTTTGGCTCCCGAGATCAGCATTATATCAGGGTAGAGGTGTATAAACATGTGCGCGCACACACACACACACACACACACACACACAGTCTCTCTTTCTTTCCCCTTTTCATGTCACTTTAAAGATCTTTGACTGTAGTCCCTGTGGATCTCAGAAAGAAAGGCCTGCCTTCCGGGACTATAAAATATAAGAATTGCCATACTTCATCAGATGAGAGGATCCTGCACTAGATGGTACACAGAACCAGCTGCTCCAGAAAATGGTGCAAGAAATCTTGCAGTAGAATCTATCTATAGACAACGTTTCTTCCTAGCCCCCACCAGCTGTTAAATTAGTATACGAGGTGGTTGTGAGTGTGCAGAGTTGACCCAGTTTAATTTTAAGGCTTGATAAAATAATTAAGATAAAAAATTGACTAGTTAAATCAAAATAGAACACTTAGTCCAAAATAAGAGTCCAACACAGACTTGTACTGAAATAGCTACAGATATGAGTTAAAACTGATTTAGTTACTTTAGTTCCATTGAGTATAGACAAGACCTTAAACTGAAGAGTGTCCCCACAGGAGTTGGCAACGTTTGTACTGGCATAGGCCATCCCAGTTAAGCAGCCTCTACTGCATACTTAATCTCTCATCTCTCTAGATTTGAGACGTTCAGGGTATGTCTATACAGTAATAAAACAGCCGCTGCTGGACAGGGTCATCAGGCTTGGGCTGCGAGGCTGTAAAATTGCTGTATAGATGTTTGGGGTTGGGCTGGAGCCTAGGCTCTGGGACTCCATGAGGGAGGAGGAGCTCCACAGCCCAAGCCCCATGAGCCCGAGTCAGGTGACTTGGGCCAGCGACAGCTGTGCTGCAGGTCTTTTATTCCAGTGTTAGACATACTCTTGTTGTAAATTCTACAACTAAATTTGTTTTAGTATACACATAGATCACCGTTAAGGTGAAATGTAATCTAAACATCTATATTGCATTCATCTGTGTGGTATCCATGTGGTAGGCATTGCTGTGATATTACACTTGCGGTTACCGTTAATAGTTTAAACATGGAATAACAATCTGTAGATAAACGTGAAATAAGTAAATTTTATGCTTCACTTTTAATTATAAGTGTGATTTAGGTAAATGTTTTTAAATAAATTAAGTGATGTTTGTTGAATCAGATAAGATTTGTCACTGTTTTGCTTAAAACCTAGCCTTTAACGTTGTGATTGCAATTATTTCCTAACTTATATTTTTGCTTGGATATGTTTGTGTGAATCAGTTCTTGAACACACAAACAGTGAAACATTTTTCTAAAGCTCTTTGGTTATTTTCAGCATGGCATTGTTGCAGAGCTGCAAGTGGTACTTTCTCATGTATGTATAAATTAAATTCATTTAAGTAATAAACTACAATGTGTGCTTATATGTTTTTCATGTTTATGTTCAATGTATTTTGAAGTATGAGTGCCATGAATCACTTGAGAAGTATACCAGTATTACTTATCCTGCTATAGGTTATTTCTGTTAGAGTATAGTTTAAGTGTAAAAGGGAGTTTGGCGAGCATTTGTCTTAGTGGAGAATAGTCTTTTGTCTTACTAGACCTGAAAAATAATTCCTAGAAAAATTAAATTGGAAATATTTGAGAAATCATTTGCAGTACATTAGGTGACATCAAAGTATTAACGAAGTGGTTGACTAGTTTCCAGATGGACTGTTGTCTTCCTATTGCAAAATAATCCTAAAATGGCTCTGAGACATAACATGGACTCGCTCTGCTACTGCAGAACTCTGTTCTTGCTGGAATTAATACAGGAGCATAGCAAAATTGTTTGCTTACAGATCTTTCATGTTAATGTACTAGTTGTGGACTATCAGGAGCTGGTTTACAAGTATGACTTTGGGGGTTAGACTAGATGAGACTAGAGTAGACTAGATGACTCTTGCAGTCCCTTCTAACCCTATGGTTTTATTCTTCTGTGATTCTGTGACCACCATATGGCCAGTTAGAACATAGCTTTGGGTAACCCTGTGCCCACTTTTTGAAGTCTTTGAAGTTGTACATGAATGTTAGATTTTTGTGCATGGACTTTGTCATGTGGAATTCTGAAAATTTGGGTCTCGTGTCCAAAGTGATGTTCTGATACTTATTTTTATTTGCAGCTTTGACATCAACAGCTTAAATTTGTCTTTAAACTTAAATTTATCTACCAAACCTAATTAGTTGCTGTCATGCCGCTTGTTTGAAAATGTATTTTGATATAACTGTTCTATGGAACTTATGGTGTGTAATGAAATAGAAGTCTTTTGAGTATAAAGTCTGAATGTTGCAAAACCTGGATATTGAACAGTCTGTGCATTTTGATATTATGGAGATAAATGTATGCTTTTAACTACAGAGAAAAACTCATCAAATGGTTAAAAGTGCTCTCCATCATTTTATTGCCCCCTGTAATACTCTTTGTACTAAGGGGGTATGGCTAAATCAGTAGAGAATATGGTGACTGAATCCAGCACTCTATGATAGAGGGGGAATAAATTAAAGCAATTTAAGAAGATAAAAAGAACCAAGCCAACCTGAATCCACAGATCTGTTCCTTAAATATGAAAAATCACCTGTGGAGCCAGAGAAGAAAGAAAAGAAAAAAGATGGCTAAAGAGAGCTGGCAGATCCTAGTCCCAGGACAGCCTCTGGGGGGAGAAAATCAAGCAACAGAAAGCAGTGCCATCAGCTTGCAGAACATATTTAAAATTGCTCTTGAAGCTTGAAGATGTTAAATTGGACACTCCTGCTGTAAAGAGGCAGTGGTTGAGTGCAATGAGATTTTTTTTTTAAAATTAATTAAAATTAGGGCTGTCAAGCGATTAAAAAATTTAATCGATTAATTGTGATTAATGAGACAATAATAGAATACCATTTACATATTTTTGGATGTTTTCTATATTTTGAAATATATTGATTTCAGTTACAACACAGAATACAAAGTGTACAGTGCTCACTTTATATTTATTTTTTATTACAAGTATTTGCACTGTAAAAAAAAAAAAAAAAAAAAGAATAGTATTTTTCAGTTCACCTAATACAAGTACTGTAGTGCAATCTCTTTATCATGAAAGTTGAACTTACAAATGTAGAATTATGTAAAAAAAACCTGCACTCAAAAATAAAACAATGTAAAATTTTAGAGCCTGCAAGTCCACTGAGTCCTACTTCTTGTTCAGCCAATCGCTTAGACAAACAAGTTTGTTTATACTTGCAGGAGATAATGCTGCCCGCTTCTTGTTTACAATGTCACCTGAAAGTGAGAACAGGTGTTCTCATGGCACTGCTGGTATCACAAGATATTTATGTGCTAAAGATTCATATGTCCCTTCATGTTTCAACCACCATTCCAGGGGAACATGCATCCGTGCTGATGACGGGTTCTACTCGAAAACAGTCCGAAGCAGTGCAGACTGACGCATGTTCATTTTCATTATCTGAGTCAGGTGCCACCCGCAGAAGACTGATTTTATTTTATTTTTATTTATTTTATTTTTTTTGGTGGTTCGGGTTCTGTAGTTTCCACATTGGAGTGTTGCTCTTTTAAGACTTCTGAAAGCATGCTCCACACCTCGTCCTCTCAGATTTTGGAAGGCACTTCAGATTCTTAAACCTTGGGTCGAGTGCTGTAGCTATCTTTAGAAATCTCATATTGGTGCCTTCTTTGCGTTTTGTCAAATCTCTAGTGAAAGTGTTCTTAAAATGAACAACATATGCGGGGTCATCATCTGAGACTACAATAACATGAAATATATGGCAGAATGTGGGTAAAACAGAGCAGGCGACATACAGTTCAGTCACAAATTTAATTAACGCAATTTTTTTAACAAGCGTCATCAGCATAGAAACATGTCCTCTGGAATGGTGACCAAAGAATGAATGGGCATACAAATGTTTAGCATATCTGGCATGTAAATACCTTGTAATGCTGGCTACGGAAGTGCCATGCAAATGCCTGTTCTCACTTTCAGGTGACATTGTAAATAAGAAGAGGGCAGCATTATCTCCTATAAATGTAAACAAACTTGTTTGTTTTAGCGATTGACTGAACAAGAAGAAGTAGGACTGAGTGGACT